CCAACTCTGAATCAAGTGACTTCACTTAAATGATCAGATTTCATGAAACTCCTTCTGGAGCCACAAAAAAGCTTTATAGAAGGCGTTTCACATACACAACAGCCTTCTCCAAGACCGGCAAACAAACTTTGATGTGTAAATCTGCAGAGGCTTGGTAAAATTGGTGTAATACTCCTTTAGTGCGTGTCAAATCTTGTGGCTGCATTACATTCTGACCTTCTGAGGTCTATGTTGTTGAAGGATTGTATTCCTTCCTCTTCTTTTTTGAATTTTCCCAGTGTACAGCTGTAAGTGTTGTGTTTCACTCCAAACACCAACCTTTACCATTGCTGTCTTAGGTAACCTAAAGTATTTTCTTCCATTAAACTTCACTGTATCAGTGCTGGCAATGACATGATAGGAAAAATATACAAAAAGCCAACAAAACACATCAAGAAGGGTTCATTGTAATGGTACTATAGCCACTCCGGCTTTTATCATGAATGAAGCAGAGTTTCCGTGGATCTAGTTATCATGCTTTGGGATGTTTGGGAAAAATGCATCCCATTTATCTTCCAGGCATTTGGGAAGCACACAGGACTTCATCAGATGAACCGTGTGACTTCAAAGTGAGGAGTCTGGTGCAGGGGCCGACAATGTTCAGTTAGCCCTGTGTAAACACTGGGGCCCTCATGACAGATGTGCACTGATTGCCGCCACATCTGAAGATGCAGCTATGAGAAGTGGTTCTTGTATCTCATCACTGTGGCATGAGATGATGGAGCCTCTGTTTCACTGTCAGAGGTGTCAGATCTGAATCCTTGAGGGGACGGTTTACACTGGGAAGCTGAGCGTTCTCCTCTGATGCCATCTGTGTCTATCATCCCGCCCCACCCCAACCATCACCACCAGTTCATCTCGTCTAATCAAAAGGAGTGTGGTTCGATTGACAGTCATTGTTAAAAGCATTTCAACTAGTCACACGATTGATGTAACTTTTAGCTGTTCCCCCATTATTCTGCAGGATTAAAGGACAAAAAACTATCTACTATCTATGTGATGATAAGGGCAAGTCTTGTATAAATCTCCAGTGAGTCATCTTCACAAAACATTTATAAGGTGCTGAAACTCTTCTTTAGACTTTTATACCAAAAGGCAATACATAAATTTTATTCAAAAGGTTCTACTTAAGTATGCGGCAATAATTCTGTGCCTTTTACTCAGAAAATTTATTTCCAATACTTGGGACCTTAATGGGGTCTCAGGAACTTGGCAGATGTCCTAAAAGGTTTTATACATTGGCTGTATAAAATATGAACACTGTGACAGTTCCCAGAAGTGAAGCCACCGTGACACGATTGCTGCGGCTTGTTGCAGTATAGGTCATAAATCCCACCCCCTCCATGCTAGTAGACATGAGCCAAACTAAATACTCAAAGTACAAATCAGATAAATTCTTCCAAAAGGTGATTTCGGTTATTGGATTATATAAAAAGAGGTCTATTTTGGCTGATTTAACAGCTTTCATTGGTGGCTTGATTCTACTCGGTTGCTACTGTGCAGAATCTGGTCACAAAATGCCAAGATGGCAGCTGCCACATTCACGATGTTTTGGCTTCACATTTGCATAGTAGAGGGAAGTGGCAACGCCATGTCCATCTTTATATAGAGTCAGTGGTTATATATACAGTGCATATAGCAGTGCAGATACAACATGATTGATATGGTGTGTTATTCTTGAGATGATAAATGAGGGTTCATAAGAAGCAAGAAGTTGTGCTACACAGATTTTAATGATGCTTTTCATTTTTCACATGTTTCACTTGTTTGTTTTTATGTGAAATCTTAATCTGAGATATGGTAATTAAAGCTGTCAAGAATTTAAAATAAGTAAAATATTTCCCTTTGTAATTCAGTAAAAGTATACAGCTACATAAAATTATAATACCCCAGAAACATATTTAAACAGAACAAGTACTGCTTGTACTAGAATAAATGTACTTGGTAAATTTCCACTGTTGACTTTGTAATGATGAAGAAATGACCATGTTTAGGGTTACCAGTGCTGACTATTGTGCTGACTTGTCCAACACAAGTCTTGAGTGTATGTTTTGTTTTCATGCAGCAAGCCAAGGCCTAAGCCTTTTCTAGGAACTGCAGAATAATTGTATCTCAAATGCAGGAACCCAGTAACAATGGGGGAAATCACTCAGAAGGCTACAGTACAGTGCAGAAACAACCATGATAACTTACTGTTGCCTCACTGTGCCAGACAAATCTACACTGATATGCAGTAATTGCCTAAACTCAGCATTAATGCTGTATTAATCTGTATTTCTAGCTGCAGTGAAGTAAGTTGAACCAGCCAAATTTAGACATTCAGCTGGCTCAGTGTGTGTCAGCATCTGCATGACAAATGGACAGCATCCTGCCTGTCGTGTGGATTTGTGTGCAGGGAGGGACAGCCGGCCACTGACACCGTACTTATGGCTGTCCTGCAGATCTGTATTCCAGGCCTTCAGCTCAGTCTGCCTCCCAGCTCTCTTCTGATGGCATCCACAGACTCATCCTTTTGGGAACGTGTGACTACTTTAAAGCAGCCTTGTGTACACTTTCAAATTCTCACTTGCATCTAAAATGCACTACATGTCAAAAAACGCCAGCAAACTCATTTTATTCAGCTTTCAGTAGTACACTGCAGTTTAAGGCTACTTGTGGGATATGCTTGAGCTCAGAGCAGGTTTAATGTATCACATATTTGTGGGTGGTCCCTCTGAGATTAGTTCAACAATAAATGAGTATTATTATTTCTTTTAGGTCATCTATAATGCTTTTTTAAGCTTAATACAAGGGATTTAATGGTCTGAGGTCAATTTAAACACCTCATCTATTTCAAATTTCACACACCTGTCCAAACATATTGTGACAATACTAGTGCTGAGGCTTTAATGGCTATTCAAGAGTATTTTAAATATTGCAAAATTCCAGAGTTAACACCTAGTGTTTGTGGATTTGTCCAACATGTCTGGAACCACATACTATGTAACTGAGCTATCAGTATATTTTTGGCTTCTGGTCCAAAGGCCACCAAATTAATTACATTAAAAATAACCTTAATTGTATAATTGTATGTATTTATGGCCAAAAAACAAAATTTTGAGTCAGTTTTTTGGTAGCACATGTCTTACAATGCCCAATCAGGGAGCATCCTCCTGTAAAAACTGACTCTATGTGTCCTTTGTGCCAGGTGGTAATAACCATCAGCAGTTACATGCTATAGTTTGGTGACCTACATGTATAGTGAGTGCAGAAACTGTGACACGAGCAAAGGAAGAAGTACAGAGATGTACAACGCCACACGGCGTGTTTTAAGGGGAGCTTGGGGTGGGTGACTGGTACATAAAACAGAAGACTTTCTCCCAGGCAAGCTGGGTTCATTTCCACAGTGCATGTTTTTCCATATTCTCACCAACTCAATCAGTCCCATCTCCATAATTAGTAAGACAAGCATATTGTTATGCCAAAATCTAGTTTTTCCAAGGATAATAATGAATAGTGCTTATCTTGAAGCCAAAATGGGTGAGAGATCCTAAAATTGCTACGGATGGAATCATAACAGCTGCTGAGCTGACTTGTCCCCATGGCAACTAAGCAAACTCTCTGTGCTAATTAGGATCACCTGATACAACTAAAACCTCCAGAAAAAGTTAGTATGTGGATCTTGGGTTATGATTGTTTGGAAAGTGCAGGGCATTTGCCAGCGTCTCCAAGCTTTAACCATGAAAGAATAAACTTTCTGTAACTGCAGACAACTGTGCCAGTTAACCAACAGTGCTGTGTTTTATATCTCTGTATCATTAACGGAACAAATACCATCCAGCTGTGAAACTTCTCTTAAAGGCACTGTGAGTGCAGATGGTGGACGACTCAGTGTGGTTCAGGAAATCAGAGAAGAAACAGTGAAACATCTGGTCTTCAGTATGGACAATGAACAACGGAGCAGTGGTGAAATTAAAGAGAAACTCATGCAGTTTGAATGCGCATATAGCCACAGCCAGACATGCTTGGCTGAAATCATTTGCCACTTATACCAAAATATAAGCTGATGTGCAGCAGTACCACAGCAGGATGCCATTAACA